GACCTCCACCTGTCCCCAACACTCACACTATGGCACTTCGTCCTTCCTCTGTTCCACAGCATGTAGTCCTGCCTTCGCCGCCTGCGTCTTCTCTTCCTGACGTTCCTGACCCTGAGCCAGACCTTGCTCATTCTGATAGTCCTACTGTCACGCGTGTCCTGGCCACACTTTTCACTGACCCTTCCTTCGCATCTACTGCTGCGTCTGCCTTACTCACTGAGCTTGTTGACTTCTTTTCTGCGTGTCTTCTAGACTACTTCAAGAGTCTTGTTACAGATTCTGAGTCTGATTGTCCTTCGTCCGTTGGGGGTGAGCTTGCCCTTGGCTGTGACGTCCTTGAGGACAAACAGTTTGAGCCTGAGTGCTTTGCGGATGTTGTTCCTCATCTCGCTGCCATGCTGCTTGCCCATGAGGGAGACCTAGATGCACTGGACATCCCGACCCTGTGCTCTTACGCAGAGGCGATCATATGCCAGTACTTCTCTCAGTGGCAGACAGCCATGGATGCAGAGATGGCTTCCTAGAAGTCCACAAGCACCTACGTCAATGCAGTTCCCCCTCATGGAGCGAACATAGTCGATGGCATATGGATTATCAGGGTGAAATCGCTGCTGGGTTACACTGCTCGAGGATTCAGTCAATGACAGGGGGTCGACTTCTTCTAGACCTTCTCCCCCACCCCAAAGATGACCTCTCTTCGGGTGTTACTGCACGTTGCAGCACAGCGTGACTACGAGCTCCACTCGCTTGACTTCAGCACAGCTTTCTTGGAGGGCAGCCTAGACGAGGAGATATGGCTGCGCCGCCCACCTGTCTCCGTCAGGCGCCCCGCAAGTGGCACGACACACTGAGGACTACACTTGCGGCTCTTCGATTTGCTCCTTCGACTACTGACCCGTCGCTATTTCTGCGCGACGAGCCTTCTCTGCCGCAGTTCTACATCCTCGTGTACATCGACGACTTGGTCTTTGCTACTGCTGACATTGAGGTAGTGGCCCTTGTGAAGGCGGAGCTGCAGAAGAGACACACCTGTACTTACCTGGGTGAGCTGCGCAACTATCTTGGCTTGCAGATCACACAGGATAGAGCACGGCGCACCATCAATCTGACTGAGTTACACATGGTACACCAGGTCCTTCAGTGGTTCAGCTTCTAGTTCTCCTCGCCACAGTGCACTCCTCTGCCTACAGGCCACTCGCTCTCAGCTCCACCTTCGAACGAGTCCGTAGAGCCAAGTGGTCAGTATCCAGAGCTTGTGGGCTGCCTCATCTACCTGATGACTTGCACACGACCTGACCTCGCGTACCCTCTCAGCATCCTAGCGCGCTACGTTGCACCCGGGAGACACCGAACAGAGCACTGGCGGGCTGCTACAAGGGTGCTGCTTTACTTGTGCAGTACATCGGGCATGGGGCTTCTGCTTGGAGGACAGGGCTCAGTTATACTCACAGGACACTGAGACGCTTCTTGGGCAGACGACCAGACGACTCGGCGGTCGTCACAGGGTTACACTTTCAGTCTCAGCACTCGTTCTGTCTCATAGAGGTCCACCCGCTCGTCTTCTGTTCTCAGCTCCAGTTGTGAGGCTGAGATCTACGCGGGGGCCATGGCTATATAAGAGTTACGCTGGCTGACCTACTTGCTGACATACTCCGGTTCTGTACGTCGACAAGAAGGCCTCGATTGCCTTGTGTCGGGAGTAGAGACTGGAGCACATAACGAAGCACATTGCTCTTCGTTACTTTCTGGCTTGAGAGTTACAGCAGCGTGGTCAGCTTTGCCTTGCTTATGTGGCCTCACAGACCAACACTGCTGATATTTGCACCAAGACGCTTGTGTCTGGTGATCATCAACGTTTCTGCACTGCTCTAGGCCTTGTGCCTACGTTGCCTCACTTGCTTACTGCTTGACTTTGCCTTGTACTGTAATCTGTATGTATACCTGCATGCTTAATCTTGCCAGGTTGTGTTCACTATGCTGCTTGTGGTTTTTTAACTCTGCGTATGAACTAACCTTTTGGCCACTTGTTTGTGCTCAGACTATGTGGTGATCTTGAGATCCACCATGAGCTTTGCTTTGCTTTGCTTCTTTGCTTGACTGGTCTTGTGACCGTTGGTTGTTCTTTCTATCCCCCATTTTGCCTATGGGGGTGTGTCAAAATGCATTATATGCTTGTAGGCTGTAGTGGGGGGTAGCCCATATATGGTACAACCCTTTTAGGGTTGCATACTTGTATCCCACTTCTGCTAGTCACACGTCATTCCGCTGTTCTCATTCTAACATCACACGCATTTATAGAAAGCACTAAGCACGAGCAAATGAAAACACAAGACAAACACGTTACAATTATTCAATTGTAATGTAGGACTTCGCCATATGTCTTGGTAAATTGTTGTCAAACTTGAGCTGGATTTGGCTTGATCCGCTTCATTACAATAGCTGTCTTCAAATTAGAATTAATCCAAACGCCCCTGCTGACTCCCCTTGCGAGCACTCATGAATTTTCACAAGCATTCATGAAGACTGGTGTGGGAAAACTGTTTTACCGCTTTAAACCAGAATTTGCCGTTTTGTACCTTCAATAAAACAGTCACGTTACGCACGCGTGACTTTCTGGCAAAAACTAATTTCCCACATAATAAAGGACAAAGCTCGGGATTCAGTTATTCAACTGAAATTCCGAGTCAATCCCGAGCACCCTTTGGGATTCCTTGGCACCCCCCGAGACCCACGCGCACCCTTGAGGGGTGCAATCATGTACTACCATATTTGTTTTTTTTTTTGTTTTTTTTTTTGTTTTTTGTTTTTTTTGTTTTTAGGAGATCACGGGATTCGTATGTGAGGGGGGGAGAGGTTGTCATCACATAACCCAAAAACTTCCCTCGATTGCAATCCGCATCTCTCTTTCCCCATCCCCACCCCAACCACAGACATCCATTTTTCCCTATGTGTTGCCCCACTCACGAAGAAGCACATGAGTAAAAGAACCCAAATGCAACACACATAGAACCCCCCCTCAAGATACCCAATCAAAACGCCGAGTCAAGACACCCCATCAAGACATCCCATCCCACACCCCACCCCCCCCCCCCCCCCCCCCCCTTCAATCACAACAGCATATCGACCATGTACGGGGCCTCTACCCAGAGAGCCCCGCCTTCCACATCGACATCGTCCCTCTCCCGGTCCACCAAATCTACGTTAATCCCCCCCATGGAAGACGCCGCTCGAAGCAGGATGACACGGGCTTGCGCACGTTGTAACGCCACCCCGATGAGCGCCTTCAGTGACCCTAAAAGATAAGCCGAAAACACAGAGTCGTCCTCTCGACAAGCCCCCCGCGACACAGCTAGCCCCACGTGCGCATCCCCCTGCTGACGAAGCCACCGCTGAAAACGACCGCCGAGACACCCCCACGTCTCAACTATCAAAGGGGTGAACTGCACGCCCCGGTTGCGTGCAAGCAGAGGCGCGTAATCACTTGTTTTGCGACGCTCCCACTCCCTTGCCGCCACACCTATTTGACGCCCGCACTGTCCCAGCAGTGATGGAGACAGCGATAGCGGGTCCGCGACGCTGATCTCTAGGGCGTGAGCCTCTCCAGCCATTGGTCGTCGCACCGCCACATCAACCCGCTTCCCCTGCAGCACCACACTATCCTCCATTGTCACCACCCCCCCCCGACGCCTTAGAGATCTTCGCCACCGCAAACTTCACCTCATCATGCACCCGAGATGGACCATGCTGGTGCTTGCATCTCAGGGCATGGTGCGGGTCTGCTGGGTCAACATACGCTGTGCCACAAACACACCTCCCCGCCACCTGCAGCTGCTGAATTGGGAGGCCAAGCCGTATAGCAGCAGCGATGCCCCACTCAGCCGCAGTGAATGTGAGATCTGAGTGAGCCGGAACCGCCGAAACCCATGCACCCGCCCCCGGGCCCTGAAGGGATGTGAAACGGGCCAAGGTAGCATCGTCACGAGCCAAGCGGCGTAGTGCCTGGAGCTCCTCTACAGCTAACTGCCGCTGCCGCGCCTGGAAAAGCCGAACAGGAGGGGCCGCTACACACAGAGGTAAGCCCGGTATCTCGTGGCGGATAGTCGCTGGCAGCTGCTCAAGAGCCTTGACAAACCACGGGTCAAGAAACTCTGCCCCTGTCGAAGTGGTGAGGTACTCTGCAAACATCGCCTCTTCACCCGCCACCCCTAACTGTGCAATGTCACGCGCGGCCTGCGCCCACCCACAAACATAGGACAGTGGGCTCAAAGAGGCCGCCGCCCGGATCCCGAACCCTCCGAGTCGCACAGGGAGATGCAGCTGCATGCGTGCGCGCCTAGACCGGTCGAGGTCCTGCTCCCAAGTGCCAGGTGGGAAAAGCTGCTCAAAGCAATCCTCTAAACAGCTGTCCCAATCCCTAAAAGCCTCAACCACCTCCGGACGCGGCGGCATAGTCCGGGCGAGGTACATCGGCCGCGCTGAAACTGCAATGGCGAGGAGGTGTGAAGCCATCTGAGGGTGGTGGAGCAATTGGAGCCATGGCAGTGGCGCCTGCAACTGTCGAAGCCGCTCCCGTAGCCGGACCACCTCCCAAACCTCCTCCCCAATAGGCACGCCCACCACAGTAAGACCCTCATCCACCCGCTGCATCCCCAATGGCAGTGCCCGCTCCACCTCCTTGCCCTCGCGCTCCCAAAACCGGCACTTGTGTGCCTGCACCTCCAGCCCCACCCACTCCAACCGCTCCCGCAGCACCCCAAAAGCCTCCAGAATCCTAGCCGCTGGCCCCAAAATATAGGTATCGTCTGCATAGCTGAGGAAAAGCAGGTCCTTGAACTCCCTAGTAACCGGCTCCATCACCTGCTGCTGCGTGAACGCGAAAAGAAAAGGGCCGAGCGGGTCCCCCTGCCTCGATCCCCGTGCTGACTCGAGGCTCTGTACGAAAGGGCCTGCTCGGAGGTACAGGTCGCTAGGTGTCCCATAAAAAACACGCAAGAATGGGATCATCCCTGAGAAAGGCGACTCCCGCAGCCCATCGAACATCACATGACGGTGAAACGAATTGAAGGCATTTGCGACGTCAATCCGTAGCGCGCACCAGTCGGGGTGAGTGGCCAGCGCTGACCGAAAAGAATGAGTGAGAATCTCCGCCCCGACCCTGGTGCCCGCTCCCAGCTGGTTGCACGGCAGGAAGTATGAAACCATCGCAGGGCAGAGCGAGATGCAGAGAGCTCGAGCAAGGATACGAGGAAGCACCTCCCCGATCGCCACCGGCCGGACGTCGCCGTTAGGCTTGGAAAGCCCGACTAGGTTGGATGCGGCGAGCCACGGCCGAGCCCGCTCGGGGACCTGTCCCGCCACCCATTGGTTGAACACTTCCAACAAGTGGGAAAGGCAGGAAGGTTCAGTGAGGAAGGTGTCGCGCAGATGCTCTGTGACCCACCCCGATGGCCCTGCTGCTGAAGCTCGAGCGGCTGTATGGATAGCTCTGGCCAGGATGTCGGTCGTGAGTGAAGGCCGCTGAGCAGTATCGATGGTGAAATCGCGGACCCACTGTGGTACCTCGCCAGCGCTAGCCGGGTGCTTCTCTCGCAGCGACTGCACCATGGCCTCAGACGGTCGAGCCAACTCCCCTGCTGTAAGGCAGGCCAATCCTCGGCTCCACTCCCCCACTTTGCACCAAGATCGGCACCGTGACAGGCGGATGGCATCCGGGTCCTGGTCAGAGCAAGTGTAGGAAAGTGGGCGAACTGCTGGCCGCGCCGCCACCATGGCAGAGTCGAACAGCTCCCGCCACCTCCCCTCCCAGAACGCACCCAACCGCTCTGTGATCAGCGCCTTCTGACCTATGCCTGGCTTGGGAGGCACGGCTAGGATAAGGCACGGAAACGCCAAGAGTAGGAGGGTAGCAGCTTCATCTCCATGCTGGCTCTTCAAGCGCTTAAGGATGCAACAGAGCGCGTCTAAGACCCCCGACTTGGCCCGCTGTGGGATCCGGCGCACTGTCCTCCCTCCAACCGCCTCCACACTGAAAAAAGTTTCCCATTCCCATGACGTAACCCCAGCCCACGCCTCGTCCCCAAATTCCCGCGGCGTCGATCGCTCCTGCGTGTCGGTCTCCACCAGAGACGGAATCGAGCCGAGAGCCTGTGCACGCCTCTCCGCCTCAGCCGCCCGGCATACCCTCATGTGGTTCGCAGCAGCCCCTCGCGTAGCGAAAGTGTGGAAACACGTGTCACACGGAAAGCGGGGGCATGGGGAAGGCGGCATGGGAGGTTCTTCGTCCGCCTCTGACTCCTCCGCAGTCGCCATGGGGGTATCAAACTGCAAAAGTCGACACCACTCCTCCAACTGTTGCTCCTGGTCGTCCATCGATCGCCCCCCTGCTTGCTGCGCTCCTTGGGGTGCCCAGGGCACCCTCGGCTGCCCCTCTGGCTGCTGCGCTCCCTGGGGTGCCCCGGTCACCCCCGGCTGCCCCCCTGCCTGCTGCTCTCCCTGGGGTGCTCTGGGCACCCTCGGCTGCCCTCCTGCCTGCTGCACTCCCTGCCCTCCTGCCTGCTGCACTCCCTGGGGTTCCCCGGGCACCATCGGCTGCCCTCCTGCCTGCTGCACTCCCTGGGGTGCTCCGGTCACCCCCGGCTGCTCCCCTGCCTGCTGCTCGCCCTGGGGTGCTCGGGTCACCCCCGGCTGCCCCCCTAGCTGCTGCTCTCCCTGGGGTGCTCCGGTCACCCCCGGCTGCCCCCCTGCCTGCTGCTCTCCCTGGGGTGCTCCGGGCACCCTCGGCCGCCCTCCTGCCTGCTGCACTCCCTGCCCTCCTGCCTGCTGCACTCCCTGGGGTTCCCCGGGCACCATCGGCTGCCCTCCTGCCTGCTGCACTCCCTGGGGTGCCCCGGGCAACCTCGGCTACCCCCCTGCCTGCTGCACTCCCTGGGGTGCCCCGGGCACCCTCGGTTGCCCTCCTGCCTGCTGCACTCCCTGGGGTGCCCCGGGCACCCTCGGCTGCCCTCCTGCCTGCTGCACTCCCTGGGGTGTTCCGGGCACCCCCGTCTCCCCACCTGCCTGCTGCACTCCCTGGGGTGCCCCGGGCACCCTCGGCAGCCCTCCTGCCTGCTGCACTCCCTGGGGTGCCCCGGGCACCCCCGGATGCCCCCCTGCCTGTTGCACTCCCTGGGGTGCCCCGGGCACCCTCGGCTGCCCTCCTGCCTGCTGCACTCCCTGGGGTGCTCCGGGCACCCCCGGCTCCCCACCTGCCTGCTGCACTCCCTGGGGTGCCCCAGGCATCCTCGGCTGCCCTCCTGCCTGCTGCACTCCCTGGGGTGCCCCGGGCACCCTCGGCTGCCCTCCTGCCTGCTGCACTCCCTGGGGTGTTCCGGGCACCCCCGTCTCCCCACCTGCCTGCTGCACTCCCTGGGGTGCCCCGGGCACCCTCGGCTGCCCTCCTGCCTGCTGCACTCCCTGGGGTGCTCCAGGCACCCTCGGCTGCCCTCCTGCCTGCTGCACTCCCTGGGGTGCCCCGGGCACCCCCTGTTGCCCTCCTGCCTGCTGCACTCCCTGGGGTGCCCTGGGCACCCTCGGCTGCCCCCCTGCCTGCTGCACTCCCTGGGGTGCCCGGGGCACCCTCGGCTGCCCTCCTGCCTGTTGCTCTCCCTGGGGTGCTCCGGTCACCCCCGGCTGCCCCCCTGGCTGCTGCTCTCCTTGGGGCGCCCCGGGCACCCAGGGCTGCCCTCCTGCCTGCTGCACTCCCTGGGGTGCCCCGGGCACCCTCGGCTGCCCTTCTGCCTGCTGCATTCCCTGGGGTGCTCCGGGCACCCCCGGCTCCCCACCTGCCTGCTGCACTCCCTGGGGTGCCCCGGGCACCCTCGGCTGCCCTCCTGCCTGCTGCACTCCCTGGGGTGCCCCGGGCACCCTCGGCTGCCCTCCTGCCTGCTGCACTCCATGGGGTGCTCCGGGCACCCTCGGCTGCCCTCCTGCCTGCTGCACTCCCTGGGGTGCTCCGGGCACCCCCGGCTGCCCCCCTGCCTGCTGCACGCCCTGGGGTGCCCCGGGCACCCTCGGTTGCCCTCCTGCCTGCTGCACTCCCTGGGGTGCCCCGGGCACCCTCGGCTGCCCTCCTGCCTGCTGCACTCCCTGGGGTGTTCCGGGCACCCCCGTCTCCCCACCTGCCTGCTGCACTCCCTGGGGTGCTCCGGGCACCCCCGGCTCCCCACCTGCCTGCTGCACTCCCTGGGGTGCCCCGGGCACCCTCGGCTGCCCTCCTGCCTGCTGCACTCCCTGGGGTGCCCCGGGCACCCTCGGCTGCCCTCCTGCCTGCTGCACTCCATGGGGTGCTCCGGGCACCCTCGGTTGCCCTCCTGCCTGCTGCACTCCCTGGGGTGCTCCGGGCACCCCCGGCTGCCCCCCTGCCTGCTGCACGCCCTGGGGTGCCCCGGGCACCCTCGGTTGCCCTCCTGCCTGCTGCACTCCCTGGGGTGCCCCGGGCACCCTCGGCTGCCCTCCTGCCTGCTGCACTCCCTGGGGTGTTCCGGGCACCCCCGTCTCCCCACCTGCCTGCTGCACTCCCTGGGGTGCCCCGGGCACCCCCGGCTGCCCCCCTGCCTGCTGCGCTCCCTGGGGTGCTCCGGGCACCCTCGGCTGCCCTCCTGCCTGTTGCTCTCCCTGGGGTGCTCCGGTCACCCCCGGCTGCCCCCCTGGCTGCTGCTCTCCTTGGGGCGCCCCAGGCACCCAGGGCTGCCCCCCCACCCGCGGGGCTCCCGGGGGTGTCTCGGTCGCCCCCGGCTGCCCCTCCGCCTGCTGTGCGGCAGCACCGCTTCCAGTCCGCCCTTGCGTCTTACGGGCGTGTCGTCTCCCGCCTCGGCCCCGTGCCCGGGTTCTCTTCGCTTGGCTAGTAGAGTCCGCACTAGCGACCTCCAGCTGCCCCCGCGCCGGCAACTCCCGCCGCTCCCCCTCCGACCGCTCCTGCTGCCCTCCCCCCAACAGCTCCAGCTGCCCTCCTGTTGGCAGCTCCTGCCGCTCTTCCCCCAGCATCTCCTGCTGCCCTCCTGCCTGCAGCCGGGCCTGGTTCTCTGATTGGTCCTGCTGCAGCTCTGGCAGTAGCTCGGCCATCTCCACATCCACCGCTTGCTGCTCCCGCTCCGGCAGCTGCCCCACCCCCGGCGGCTTCTGCTGCTCTTCCCTTGGCAGTTCATGCTGCTCTCCCCCGGGCGGCCCCTGCTGCCCTCCTGCCTGTGGCCAGGCCTGGTTTCCCGATTGGTCCTGCTGTGCCTCTGGCTGTAGCTCGGCCATCTCCACTTCTACCGCTTGCTGCTCCCTTGCTTGCTGCTCCCTTGCCGGCAGCTCGTGCTGCTCTTCCCTTGGCAGGAGGGCAAAACAATATTTGTTTTGTCGTGTTGTACAGCTGCGCTGTCCTGCGCGAGGGCTGGGCGATCATTCGCCCTGTCCTGTTGCGGACGTGTGCAAGACACATGCGCGCCCCTTGTGGGGCCACACGCGAGATCAAAACACCTCCCGCGGTCCTGATACTCTAGCGAATCTCGCTTGACCAGCGCGAGAAAATTCACATAGCGAGAAACACTCACTTTCCCTCATTAACAATTATGAAAGTTCGTGAACCTTGATGAACTTTCATGAATACAGTAACTCAAAAACGGATACACGCGAAAATACATGAAAACTCATGAGCGCGCTTGTAAATTAATGAGCATTCACGAATTCACGTGAACTCGCGGAAACTTGCGAATATCCACGGCACCTCATGAACATTAATGCGCTTTCATGGAAACTCATGAACACTCATGAAATGCACTCAGACAATAATGGCCATAACTTATGAACCGCTAAGGCGATTCACCAACCGCAAACGCACAAATGTAAAGCACACAAATACACTTCTCACACAACACAAAATACCTTTAAACAAAACACTTCATTATCGTTTACTGTCGGCGAATAGGTGGTAGGTTGACATGCAGACCACATTTTGCACTCAACACAATGTTCTTGGTCGTTTGAAATCAAGCGTGACAAGTATATCCCTACCGTTGCTGCCCATATTGCACCCCACCCCAAATACTGTGGAAGTCATCGCCAACGCTACTAACAGCGCGACAGTATGACACCTGTAGCTGCATTTGCAGCTCGTTTGTACAGTGCGGTAGTGATGTCGCTGGTGTCATGCTTTCATGCTATCGACAATATAGAGACCTTCCAACGTCCGGTCCGTGAGAAACTTCCGTGAGCTTCTACCACAACGACACCCCAAAGTGTCACCCGCACTCACACACACCTCCCCAACCCAACTATCCACTTATGCGCAACAAATTTTTCGTGTCCCTGTCTGTTTTTGTATCAACAAACTGTGAGAATAATGAGAGGAATGATGGAACTAGGAAACAGGTGGGGTACAAGTAGCAAACACAAAAGTGTTGTACCCTCTAAGGACTACCCCACTACAGCCTAAACAGACTATAACATTTATAAGTTTGACACAAACCCCTCCCCCCCCCCTAACTCAACCACTTTTGCATTTTTGCACAATCGTTTCTTGTTCTCGAGATAATGATACTGCTCTCTTTACTCGAACCGGTGAATTGTTTCTTTGACACGCTGGACATGTATGGCCTGCCTATGTGCCATCTTTCAGAAGCCTCCCCCCCATTATACACCCTACCCATTTCTGTATTTCAATGTGTTGGTAATAACTGTTTCTGTCTCCTCTACTAGATGAATTTCTTTCAGTGATCATTGGGGAAGACAGATAGTGCTCTGCCCACGGTGAACATGGTTGTTATATTATTGGTTTATTTATGTCTTTTGTATATTATGGTCATACTCCATTGTGAAATGTAATTTTACTGCAACAATGATTGTATCAATATATCATTCTGGTAACATCCTTTTGTCCAAGCTGCTTACACTCAACTTATGAACTTTGGCGTCTTCGACGTCATACACGATTTGGCCGTTTCAGGCTTCAAGCTGCTATCATTTGTTGAGCCAAGGAAAACGACCGCTCAGAATCTGCAGACATTCCAGGCATGGCAAGATAGTCTCTTGCCATCCGGACCACTGTTGAGTAAAATAGTTTTTAAGCGACCCACCACTAATTGAAATTGGCCAAAGTTCCTTCTAGAACTACAGGGTCTTCTTCTGCAATATAATTTACGATTTGTTTTTCTGCATCGTCTCGTTTTGCTTCACCAGCTACACGAAAAAACCATTCCAGAATATGCATTGTCTTTTTGTTCGTTGCTGCTGGTGCACTTGTCTCATATGTCTTCTCCTTTGTTGCGTCCTCCATTTTGTTTGTAATGGTCTGTCGAACAGAGACTTCATTGACGTGCCCAATGTTCGTTGCCTCGGCGGTATAGTAGCTTAGATTAAATCTTGGACCCAGAATGGTTGTAATACTGTCTTTTTCTGAGGTCTTGTTGTTTTTTTTCAACTTATTGAGTCTTACTACATAAGCATCATTGAAATCATCCACCCCTTTGTACACCAACATCCAAATTTCCATGAGCTCATTCATCAATAGGATGCACAAAGAAAAAGTGGGATACTTGGATCCATAATGGTAGTGATTTCATGCACATGAGAGAGAAGGGAATGCACTTGATCAAGTGTTGTCCATTCTCCTTCCCTCATCCTGAGTTTTTCAAAAGCATCATCACTCACCTCTACTAGGTATGCTGTTATTTCAGGCTTCACCTCCTTGGCGCAGCTAATTATTGCATAAGCACTATTCTATCTGGTTGGAGTATCATGAATAAGAGTTTCTTTTGTTGCAAATACCAATTTATTTACTGTTTATCAGGAACTTGTGAGTGCGCAGAGGAGAGATGCCATGGTGAACAGCAAGCCCCCAGATCATCACTAACTCTTGCTCAGCACGAGGCGTTTTCAGATGCATGCAACAATATTCAATACATGAGAGAAGCACATAAGGTGCCTGTCTTTGGAGAATCCTTCCTCATTTGCAAAAAGCAATAGTAATTTCTCGTTTGTAGATGCGTTGTCAACCGTGATCCCCATTACATTGTCTTCCAAGCCCCATTTTGTGTAGACCAAATCAATAAAAGCTTCTTCAAATGCCTATGCAATGTGATGTCCTCCGACACAAAAAAATCCAATAGCATAAACATACTTTCCCAATTGTCATTGATCCAGTGTGCAGTAACAGCCATGTACTGATCCATGTTTGGCGCTATCCAAATGTCTCGTGTAAAGGAGATCTGGGTAGGCAAGGTACCCAAGTGTTCTTTTATTTTTTGAGAAGAGTTCTTCACATGCCTGCAAAATGTCTCCTGTGATGGCGATGCGATAAGGAACGTTGACTTTCGGCTCTAGCCACTTCAGATAGTCTCTCAGCTCAGCACTCTAAAAAAAAAAAAAAAAAAAATTGGAAAAAACGTACTAGACGACGGCGATCTTCGCGTCGGAGTAGATGCCTAGAAAAAGGCACTTTCCGATGTTTTGCAAACCACTTGAAGCATCTTCAAGGTACAAGTTGGAATGTTGAAAATTGTCACAAGAATGAACGAGAATGAATGAACTTGCAAAGGGTTGGGTACAAGTACTAACCCTAATTGGGTTGTACCCCTTATGGGCCTACACTATAGCCTACACAAAATGTAAGCACTATAACATTCTCACACACCCCCATACGCAAAGTGGGGGAGAACAAGTGGACAGAAGACCAGTCAAGAAAAGCAAAGCAAGCTCAGGGTGGATCACAAAGTCAGCACACAGTCGGAACACAAACAAAGGGCCACAAGGCCAGTTCACATGCAGAGTTATATAAAAGAGAACAAATAATACAGTGATCATACCCTAGCAAGTGTAAGCATGCAGGTATATATATAGAGTGATGGTGCGCCGTGCTCTGTCCCGGGTGATCTGCAAGCCAAGATAGCTGCGCAGCTCACTCAAGTCAGTGAAGGTGTGCTTCTTCTGCAGCTCCGACTTCACAAGGGCTTGTGCCTCAGTGTCATTAGTGGCAAAGATCAAGTCGTAGATGTACACAAGGATGAAGAACGGCAGCAGGGAAGTGTCGGTGCGTAGAAACAGCGATGGGTCAGCAGTCAAAGGAGCAAACCCAAGAGCCGCAAGCATCGTCCTCAGTGTGTTGTGCCACTCGCGAGGCACCTGGCGGAGACCGTAGACTGGCCGCCGGAGGCTCCACTAGGTACCTGCAGGAAACGACCCAGTGAAGCCAGGTGGGCGGCGCAGCCAGATCTTCTCGTGCAGGCTGCCCTGTAAGAAATCTGTGCTGAAGTCAAGAGAGTGAAGCTCGTAGTCACGCTGAGCGGCGACGTGCAACAGTACCCAAAGAGTAGTCATCTTCGTGGTAGGGGAGAAGGTCTAGAAGTAGTCAACTCCCTGTCGCTGACTGAAGCCTCGTGCAACGTAACGAGCATTGAAGGCAGGCGGAGAACCCGGCGGCCGCTTCACCCTGAAAATCCGATGCCATTGACTATGTTCGCCCCAGGAGGGGGAACTGCGTCGACGTAAGTGCCTGTGGACTTCCAAGATGCCATCTCTGCGTCCATGGCTGTCTCCTACTGAGAGGAGTAAGGGCCCGTAATTGCCTCTGCGTAAGAGCGCGGGGTCGGGATGTCTGGTGCATCCGGGTCTCCCTCAGGTGCAATCAACATGGGCATGAGATGAGGTGTAGTAGCTGCAAAACACTCAAAGTCCTCCTGCTTGTCCTGAAGGACGTCCGTGCCAAGAGCACACTCACCCCCGACGGACGGAGGCCAGTCAGACTCAGACTCAGCAACAAGACTAGCGGCGTAGTCGAGACGACAGGCGGCAACAAAGACAACAAGCTCAGCAACTAGGGCAGACGCAACAGCAGACTCAAACGAAGGGTCAGTGACAACAATGGCCAGAAGACGAGGGACAGTAGGACTGGTGGCATGAACTAAGTCGGACTCAGGGTCGGGACCGTCAGCAAGAGAGGACGCAGGAGGAGATGGCAGGGGGACGCGATTTGGAACAGAGGAAGGACGAAGTACCATATGGTGCGTGCCGGGGACAGGAGGAGGACGCGAACGAGGAACACGAGGACCAGTGCGAACAGCGCGAACAGGCGAGGCAGGACGAGACACAAGCTCACGACGCTCTGTAAGACCTCCTGTCTGCTCAGTGTAAGGAGAAGGAGCAGGCAATGGGGAGGCTAGCTGTAGCGGCGGCTGCGACTGGTCAGGCGGTGGACACAGTAAGGGAGGAGTGAGGCCAGTAGAAGTCAAGAGACCAAGAACCTAAGGAAGCAGGGGAACGAAGTA